TAATTCATTATTTCTAATTTAATATAATTTTAGATAGAATAAAAATAGGCTATTTTAAATTTAAAATATTAATACATTTATGTATTAACAAAACTTTAAATTATTTTTATATTTTCGAATCCATTAATTCAACTTCAATGAATTCAAATTTAAATTCATATTTCTTTTTAAATTCTCCTAAGTTACCGATAATATCATATATTTAGATTTTTCAATAGATAAAATATTTGCATTATCTTAATTCTTCAAAATATTTAAATGAAAATTTCACATAAAAATAATTTTTTGACTCATATAAATAAATTAAGTAATTAAAACCGACTATTTATGTATATAAAAACAAATATACGTATGACATGAAAATAAAATTATAGGTGAAGCTTATGAATGTAATTGAGACGAGACAAATTTTGAGTTATTTGATATTGACTCGATCAAACATCAATAAATACTCGACTCGAATGGGCCTGACTCGAGTTCTTAACGAGCCCAAACGAACTACTTGATACTCGACTCGAAAAGCTAGCGAGTAACTAAAAATATAATATATTAAGATTTTATTTTTTAAATAGATTATTAATAATATATAACATTTATATGTTGATTTTTTCAAAAAAATATTGTATAAAGTTTTCATGTATTTAAGGTTCTGGTTTGTGTTTGAGTTTGAGTTTCAATTGAATTAAGTTTAAGATTTTTTTATTTCGAGTTTTTTCGAGCTTCAATTCATGGTTTCGAGTACGAGTCGACCCTAAAAATTTAAAGCTCAAGAGTCTTCGAATCGAATTGAGCTCAGCAATACTTGAAATCGACTCGGCTCGGTAAGGAAGCTAAGGCATTAAAACGGCGTAGCTTGATAGTTTGGGTAGGACCCAGTCTTAATATTATGAAGTTGCAGCCAAAGTCAACTTCCGGTCAACAATACTTATCCAGTTCCGTCAATATATGTTTTGAAAATCAGATCGGATCGGTCGATTCAATTGGTTCAACCGAAAATTACTGTCTGGTTCGATACATTATACTTCGGTTGAACAAGTTTTAATGAACCACAAGGAACCGTTCGAACCGGTCGAATCGGATCGGACCGTGAACCGGTTTAACCTAAATTTTTTATTTAATTTTTATTTAATCCTTTAAATAATTATGACGTCGTCCGATTCTTACGACTGATCTAATCGATTCAATCAATTGAATCAGTGAACCGATAACACGAACGATTCACTAACCAGTTCGATTCTAAAACCATTCCCCAATGGACTAAATCTCTTGTCTAACTATATCAATTAAACCTCTGCTTACAAATCTCTCTATTCTCCTCAAATTTCCTCTCTCTCTCTCTCTCTATTGTTTTTCACATCTATGGCCAGAGGAATCCCGAGCGATCGGCTGCGGAAGCCAATGCATAACGCAACCTTACTCCTCGTTTGCGGTTTCCGACTCTTTCTACTACTACCACTCGTCGTCGAATCGCGGAACAATCGGAGACGTGTTTTTCGGCACCGACGATATAAAGGACACCAGAGATTTAGCTTTGAAGGAGGATGTTCTGGAGAGTTATCGTCGAGAGACGGAGATGAAATCGTTGAGGCGGCGGTCGAAGAAGGAATCGATCTCGAACGTCGGGTGCGTAGAGTTCTTGAAAATCCTATTACGATATTGCTGCAGATGTATACTGTGATTAAATTCTTTTTAGGTGAAAATCTTGATGAATTCATGATTAATTTGAAATTATTTTCGAAAACAATGATGAAAAATTCAAAAAAAAATCGGTGATTGGGAACGCAGTTTAGATGGTGGAGTTTTAGAACAGCACGACACCATAGTTTCGTCCAATGCTCCAGCACCATCCTATTTTGGCTTCATTTAATTTATTAATTAATTTTCTCATAAGATTCAGAACTGAGCTGGCATTTTATTTATTTATTATTCAGTCATATTCCAAAACTTGTTTCTGGGTAAAGTATAGTAATGGTCACTAAATTTTTCTAAAATTTTTATTTAGGTCCTCAACTTTTAAAACTTACAATAAAGTCTTTCAACATTTAGTCTATTTACAATATGGTCCCCGACGTAACCGGCCATTTGACGTCGTTACACTGCCGTTAGTACGTTTGCAATATGATCACTGAACTTTTTAGGCGCTTGCATTTAGATTCCAACTTTTAAAACTTGCAACATAGTTTTAATTTTGTTCTAAACCCCAAATTAATTCTTTTTCAAACTCGAATTTTCCGCCATGTGAGCAAAAACCAAATTGAAGAACAAAAACCAAATGAGAGTGTATGTTTTAAAAGTTGGAGACCTAAATGCAAGCGCCTGAAAAATTCAGTGATCATATTGCAAACGTACTAACGGCAGTGTAACGGCGTCAAACGATCGGTTACGTCGGGGACCATATTGCAAACGGACTAAATGTTGGAAGACTGTATTGTAAGTTTTAAAAGTTGGAGGATTTAAATGAAAGCTTTAGAAAAATTCAGTGACCATTACTATACTTTACCCTTTATTTTATTAAAGTCATGGACGTTTAAGTTTTTATTGTTTTTCACGAGATCTATATGATAATAATTTGGGTAAATGATGAATTTAATATCTAAACTATCAATTTTGATTTGTTTTAGTACTTAAATTTTTACTTTTTTAAAAAATCATACTTAAAGTTTAGTTTTTATTTTAGTATATGTCATTAAAAACTTCAATTTTTGTTAAATTTTGGTATCTCCTTCAGAATTTAAGTTATGTTTTGGGGACAAAATGAAAGTTTAGGTACTAACATGTTAAGTTTTTAATGGCGATGTACTAAAATGAAATAAAAACTAAATATTACGTATGATTTTAAAAAATAATAAAAGTTTAGGTACTAAAACGTCTCAAAATTGATAGTTTATATACTAGATACGTAATTTACCCTGATAAATTTTAGGAAAAAGTACGTATCATATTTATCGAACGATCACTTTGGTTTTGTATTATCTAATTATTTTTAAGATTAAAATACACAAATGGTTTCCAATTATAGGTGGTTGTTTTATTGAGTTTTCTAACTATTAAAAGTTATGAAATAATCTCTTAATTATAGGGCATTGATTTATTGAGTTTATGATTATTAAAAGTCATAAAATAGTTATCCGAATACTAATATGTTTCAAACACGCCATTTTTTGTTTAAAAAATGATGACGGTTTAAGCTGAATGTTAATATATCGATTGCGATATGATAAAATATGATAAAAAATAACTATCATATCTCAGTCAACAAGTTAACCTCCAACTTAGATTGTCATCGATTTTTAACAAAAAAAATTATGAGTTTGGAACATATGAATAGTTGAGTGATCATTTTATAACTTTCAATATTCAAGGGACTCAATAAAGTAATGCCTTACAATCAAGGCACAATTTGTTAATTTCTAATAGTTTGGGAACTTAATAAAGAAATACCTTATAGTTGATGGATTATTTGTGTATTTTATCCTTTGAGTAACCACTAAGGCTATGTTTAAATTTTAACTATTAGTAACTATAATAAAACTAAAATGTAATGTTAGCGATGCTTTTGAAAAAAATAGTTAAAAGATCAAAACATAGTTAAAGTGATAGTTGAGTGACAAAATACGTAATTTATTTTAAATTTAAAATTTTCAAATTTATATTAAATTTTATTAATTTATTTTTTAAAATAATTTAGGACACCCAATATTTATAGATACAACAACGAACAACAATCAAACCCTATTCTCATATGCAATGGGGTAAGGGGGAGGTAGGGTAGTAAGCTGCCCCCAATGCCAGGTTGAGAGCAGCTTCCGTGAAAAACCTCCGGCAGTCAAAAAATTACAAATAAAGATAAAATGCAATGCATGTATAAATAAGTATTCCACCATCATCATATTATTGAATTTTGAGATATTGAATATCAATTTAAATAATTAAAATTAATATTTAAATTAAATTACGATTGAAACTAATAATATATTTAAATCTATAAAGATATTTTCATAAATAATAAAGAAAACTAAAATTATTATATTTTGTATTTAATAATTTTAAAGATAGTGTCCAATGAATGAATTTTTATTTTTTCTTCAAATGTTTTTTTCTTATAATACAAAATAAGTTTATATTCATATGTTGTATAAAATTATAACGAACGTTTTTAATCATAAATGTAAACTAAACATATTATTAAGATATTTCCTATAACCATTAATACAAAAATATTAATAACTTAATATCATACAATGATCATATAAGAAAAATGTTAAAAATCAAATTAAAAAACTCGAACAAAATTATATACGACTATATCTGACTGCATCGATCAGCGTATCACAGAAGGATATCACAGCTATTAAAAGTCCGTCGACAAACTGCATATCAAAATCAAGGGACGCAAGAAAACTATCTGTGAACTCAATAATCTAATATGATGGTCCCAAAGCCACTTCATCAAATTAAGGGTAAAAATTGTACTGAAATTTAGGAGTTTTGGTTTATCAATTAAAATATTGAATTTTGATTTTCCGTTTTAATTATACCATTAAACTGTTAAAGCGTTAACAATAAGATCAAAATAGTGTTGTTTTGGTGATGTGTCTACGTCGACAGCCGTCAGCCACGTCGACAATTGTCAACCACATCATTGTGTTGTTAACGATTTAGATGTAATTAAAATAAAAATCAAAATTTAATATTATAATTGACAAAATTAAAAGTTAAATAATATGAACGGTAAAAACGCATAATTTTTGGTGGTATATGATACAGTTTACCCTCAAATTAAATCAATGCAACGGTATAAACCGTCACCAAATACACCGCCTCGGCGTGCCTAGTGGGGGCCGTTGATTTTTGAACTTCAAAAAGTTGCATGCAACCTTTGATTTCTTATATAAACTTCCCTTCTCCTTCATCTATTCATCTTTCTAAACGCTCAAACGCAGAACAAATCGGAATTTTCTTTCATCTGTGATCAGAAAATTATATAATCTTCTTCTTCTTGGCTATCGGAAATGGCTGCAGCGTCCTTCACTTCCCGTTTCAAGCAATCAGTCACCGCCGGTGCACTCAGGGCCTATCTTGCAGAGTTCATTTCCACATTCTTCTACGTGTTTGCTGTCGTCGGTTCCGCCATGGCTTCACGTTAGTTCTTTTAATGGCTGTATTCTTTTCATTTTTTAAAAAAAAGACCATCTTCAACTTTTTTTCCTCACCAGGAAAATTGACGTCGGAATCGGCAACGGCAGCCGGTCCGGCGAGTCTGGTGTTAGTCGCCATCGCGAACGCTTTCGCGCTGTCGTCGACGGTGTTCGTGGCGGCGAACGTTTCGGGCGGACACTTGAACCCCGCCGTCACATTCGGGATGGCGGTCGGCGGCCATATAAGTGTCTCGACGGCTTTGTTTTACTGGGTTTCTCAAATGTCGGCCTCCGTCATGGCTTGTCTTCTGTTGAAGGTCGCCACCGTGTCTCAGGTAAAAAACAAAACGAAGCCGTTTTCATCCATTATCGAAAAACCAATGTTTTTTTTTTTTTGCAGGACGTTCCGATATTTACAATAGCGAGTGAAATGACCGGGTTCGGAGCATCGATGGTGGAAGGAGTGCTGTCGTTCGGTTTGGTTTACTCGGTTTACGCAGGCAGTGACCCGAGGAACGGTCGCAGTGGACCGGTGGTGATAGGAGTGATGGCAGGAGCCATGGTCCTGGCGGCAGGGCCGTTCTCGGGAGGCTCGATGAACCCTGCATTAGCGTTTGGTTCGGCGGTGGTTGCGGGTCGGTTCAAGAACCAGGCGGTTTACTGGGTCGGACCATTGATCGGGGCGGCAGTTGCCGGGCTTGTGTATGACAACGTTGTTTTCAGGGATCAAGCATCGGTTCCTGGAGAAACCGGAGTTTAACGGTCTTGTAGTAATTTTAAGTAGCTTTGTCAGCGTAAATGTAAACTGATAGTATCATTAATTAAAGAATTTATTGATATCTTTTAATATTTTAAGTTCAAACATTACCGTATGCAAAGAATATTAACATTCATTATTAGATAAGGAGTCCTACTAAGGGCCATATTGCTTTTAAGGATGGGCCTTTGCCTTAACCGTCGAGCAGATTTTGACTCGACCCGATTTTATAAGATTATGTATTATTTTTGAATTAAGTTTCTTTAATTTTTATTTTATTTTTGAGATTATTTTTAAAAATTTTATATTTATTTTCATAGTTTAGTTTAGTTTTTCAATTTGTTTTATTTTTAAGTTTATTTTTATGTTTGTTTGTTTATTTGGTTAGTAAGAAAGTTGAAGAAATGATGAGAAAAGAGTAGTTGAGAAAAATAATGAAAATTTAGAACTGATCCCTCAGATTATGTTAAATCAGGTTTTTAGGCCAAATTTAGGGTTGGGTGTTAGGTCGGGGAAGATCCTTCAAAACTTGTAGTGGGCTGGGGTTGTGTTAAATCAGGTTTTTAGTTCAAATTTAGAGATAGGTGTCGGGTCGGGTGAAATCTTTCAAATCCGTTAATAGGTCGAAATTGGATAGACCAAAAATTCAATCCGACCATTGTCATATTGCTTTTAACATCCATTGACACTTTGTTCACCTAGGCCCATTAATCAAATTATAATGAGGAACTAATATTTTTTTTATTAATATGAGCAAGTATAAGGTAATATCTGTTTAAAGATAAACTCTAAATCTTTCGACATTCATTGCTCGCACCCCTAGCATCTATACTGCTCGAACTCGTGTCCTCGGTAACTAATATTTAATTTTTTTTAAATAGTTTAGAATGATTATAAGGTAGTATCAGTTTAAAAACACATACACTTCAAACACAAATTTAAACTCGAACATATATTTTAGAATTTTAAGATTCATATAAGAACCAATTAAATGTTTTAAGTATTAAATTTATAGATGTACTTAGTTCAAATATCAAATATATAAACAAACTCTATATATTATATTATTATTGAATACTATATTCAATATTTAATTAATTTTAAAAGAAAATTTTGGTGAGGAGAAGACTATTTTCCCTCATGTCAAGCCTTCCACGCGCCGCCATCAATAGGAGGCGAGGTCTGTGTCGCCACCGAACCTACTGCGGAGTCGAAGTGGAACCACAGCCCTAAAAAGGGAACCGTCGGTGATCAACTCAACCCCAAGATTAACTAACATGCAGGACAGCTGTCACAGTCACCCTAGAAATTTTAAATTATCTTCTTTATAATTTTTCCCTAACATATAATCTTATGTCATTCCAGGCTAACAGGTCGAAGTCGACACCGAGGTCAAGAACCCTAACAGACGGAGAGAATATCAAACCCACGGCCGTCGTATGGAGCATGCAGAAGAAGAGTAATAATCAAGAGAGTGGTACTAGAGATGGGTTCGTTAGGTTCTTGCAGCGTGGCGGTTCGAAAACAAAGGGATCATCAAAACCGGTCACGAATTCTCCCTCTCCGTCTGCATGGGCATTGTCTCCGGGTAGGACTTCGCCATTGATGGTGGCGGTGGAGCCGCAAGGGTTTTCTTTTAGGACGACTGAGGTAAGGGCTAAGTGCTCCAAAGGCGGCGGCGGCAGTGGCCGTGTGACTGGGGTTTTAAAGTATTTCAGCGGCCAGAAGAAGGTGTAACCTATACAAGAAGAAGAGTATCATCAATTTCGAGTTGTGTATAACAGGATGTTGCAATGGAGGTTTGCTAATGCTAGAGCTGAGGTGGCCATGTCCGTCGTGAATATAGATGCTCAGGTATCAACAATTGGCCGTGGATAGGCTGCTCTTATGTCTTCTTTAGAAAAGTTTGGGTTCGGCTCATAGGGTTTATTTGGTAAAATTTTAAGTTTTTTAGTATTTATAAAAAATATTTTTAATAAGGGTAAATTATGCGTTTAGTACCTAAACAATCATTTTGCTTTGTTTTAGTACCTAAACTTTCAAAACCATACATATAGTTTAGTTTTGTTTCATTTTAGTATCTCCATTCAAAATTTAACGTTAAGTTTTGAAAATAATGAAAGTTTAGGTACTAAAATAAACCAAAACTGATAGTTTAGGTACTAAATGTGTTAAGTTTTTAACAGTGAGGTACTAAAATAAAATTAAAACTAAACGTTAAGTATGATTCTGAAAAAAATTAAAAATTTAGGTACTAAAGCAGACCAAAATTGGTAGTTTAAGTACTAAACGTGTAGTTTACACTTTTAATAAATATAAGAATGTGTAAAATACACAAATGATCTATTTTTCTATAAGGTGTTGCATTGTTGAGTCATTCGACTGTTAAAAAATTGCTCACCTGATTATTCATATGTTCTAAACCCGTCATTTTCCGTTAAAAAATTGGCAACCGTCTAAGCTGGACGCTAATATGCTAACTCAGAGATACGATAAAATCTTATCTCATAACATTTTAAACTGTGAATCAAGTCTACGTTTACATTTTGATGATGCGTCAATGCTTGAAAACCACAACAGTGCTTGTAGACCTATGTGTGCTCACCTTAAAGAATATTTCTAGCTCCGTCACTGATATTAACGATATATAATTCTATTACAAGCCGACGTGGAGTCCATGCATGAAGCCATAAGTGCAGCCATTGAGGTCATGGATGGCATAATCCTATTACAAGTTTGTATCCTGAAATTTTCGTCTACGATTATAAAACAAAAAATTCCGAGCAGATATTATCTTATAATTATGAGTTAATTGTATTATATATCTCTAAATTATGACCTTCATTTTAAATTAATCCTCAAACTTTTGAATATTCTGATTTCATCCTCAAACTATAATACTCATTCTAAATTTATCCTCAAACTTTCACTACAAGAAATTTAGATTATTTCAACAAAATTATTTATCACTAAAAGTACTAAATTTGTCACGATATATTTATTATGAACAATATTATTTGTTACCATGTTTGTTAGAACAACCTTGTCATGTAAAGTATATTGCGACAAAATTGAGTTCGTTACCATAGTATAGTATTTATTGTAATAATAAAATTTCGTTACTATAATTAACTTATCGCAATAAAATATTTGTCACAATCAATTAACCATTTCGTCACGAGAATTACATTTCGTCACGAGAATTACATTTTGTCATAACTAACTTATATTTAAACATCACATATAAATGATTTTTGTGACGAAAATACACAAGACAACAAAAATTATTTTGTCGCAGTTGCTATTTCGTCACTAAATGTAACTTACAGAAACAAAATATTTGATAAAATAAAATAATTATTTTATCATAAAAAGTAAATTTCGTCACAATTAAGTTAAATTATAACATCAAACAAAAAAGATTTTCGTGACAAAAAGACATATTACAACAAAATTTATTTTCTCACTACTTTTATTTCGTCACTAAATATTTTTTATAACTTTTTTACTCCGACTAAATAATTTTGTTACAATTTGTTATTGTGAAAGAATATTATTTGTCACATTTTTTTATAAATGAGAAATTAATATTTGTTACAAATTGTTATTTTGATTAAATAAATTTGTCACAATTTTTATTTTGACGAAATATGGAGACGAAATAAATTTGACATAACTGTTTACTTTGACTAAATTTAACGTGTTATTGTGAATAAATCATTTTGTTACAATTTGTTATTGTGAAAGAATATTACTTGTCACAATTCTTTATGATGAGAAATTAATATTTATATAAATTATTATTTTGATTAAATAAATTTGTCAGAATTTTTTATTTTGACAAAATAAATTTGACACAAATTTTTATTTTGAATAAATTTATTACGTTATTGTAACTAAATAAATTTGTTACAATTTGTTATTATGAAAGAATATTTTTGTCATAATTTTTTATATTGAGAAATTAATAATTGTTATAAATTGTTATTATGACTAAATAAATATCGAAATCCAACATAATGAAATAAACGACAAGGAAACGAACGGCAATGACATGAATTATTAGCAAACAAATGGAACCGAAGGTCGAGATAAACCATAAACTACATAATGAAACAAATGATTGTCAATAACTTATAAAAAACATGGTAACAAATTTGAAATTAATATCTAAAAATAAAATAAAAACATCATCTCTCTTACATTGATTGTTAATTGTCTCATCATTTGTATTGGATTTTGAGGGTTTAGGATCAACCACAGTCTTTGAGGTAGTTCTCACTCTCTTGCTTTTATACATGATTGCCTAGAAAAAAAATACAAGTATAACCATAAACTATAGATCATATTAGATTAGATCAAATATATATATAAAAAACTCACTATTTTTTGGTCATGTAGTTGCCCATTGATGTCATTGCTATATCGGCGTCTATCCTTCCAAGTTCCACCTGCAAGGTTATAATTGATTTGGTTCTTCATGGATCAGTCGGGAACTTAGTCATGTTCATAACAATTCTATGGCTAAAGCTAGTTTAACATTAACACAAACACAAGCATCTCAAAGCAGCCCAGGGTACCCCCACCCATCTTCGTGCCCATTGTTTATCACATTTATAGTAACTAATTAAACTTTGCAGAAAACCAAAGAAACTGAAATCACTCTCATCTTGTCCAACAGAGATCTTGTTGCGTAAACCAAACCACAAAGAGTGGTTGTCTTGATCTTGTGTTTCAGTTCATGGTCCATAAATCACTACTTCCCAAGCGTTCTAAAAAAATGAATCTGCAACTCTTTTGCTCTCACAACTACAAATAAAACATGGAAAGTTTTGGATGTAAAGGAAAGGCAAACACCAAATATAGACCAAATTAAAGAGATTGGTATAGTCATAATGAAGATGTTTTCAATCAACTATCCAAGCATCAGAACCAAAACAGTTTCGAGATTTTAGACACAACAACAACAATTGTTATTCCCATAGATTTGAGTACAATTACTACACTAAGAATTATTAAATTTAGCATTGAATGTTACAACCCAACATACCAATTCCATACACTCATACCCTGACAATATGAAGCTTGGTGGAGAACGCGATGGCCACCCAATCAGGCTGGGAAGTTGACCACTGTAACTGCTCAATTTCGGCCCCGACGATGTAGGCGAGGATTGGGTCAAGTCCACCCTCCACAGGCTGACTCATGGAGGACAAGTCCCAAATCAAGGCATGGGAATCATCCCCGACGGTGCAAATATGGCAAGAGTTGTGGGGTGCCCACGCTATGGCATTGACACTAGCCTGGTGCCTCTGCAGCTCAACCACCGGCAGTGTAGGGAAGTGGATATCCAAAACAACCACCTTAGCACTATCCATAATTATAGTGGCCATGTATCTTGGGTCCTGCTTGTTCCACCCCAACCGTATAAGCAGAGTATCGGGCTCCGAACTCTCATAAATAATAGTGGAGTGCTCCTTGTCGCGAAGGTCAAAAATCCTAACTGACCCATCAGTCTAGAGAGCATATCACAATAATTGAAGCAGTTATTGTTCTTATGTTTCAAAGCACTTGTTATCAGGGAACACATTGCATCGGTTACTCTTATCATATGAATACCAATCCGTGTTATAGTGTTTTTTTTACTTCAATAACTGCATCCTAGTTACACGTATTAACACCATCATCCCTAAGTTTTATTTGAAATAGCAGTTATTTTTATCATTCGTATAAACACTTGTAAATTGTGAAATTTGTAGGGTTTAAACTTTTCGGTGATTGCTATAACAATAGATTAAATATTAAACAAAATCAGACTCATCAGACTCCTATTAAGAGTGTTATACGATTATTATTATTAATTAGAATATCTTTGGATATTTTCTTAAGATAATAATAATAATAATAATAATAATTAAAGCATAATCTAGAGTAGGGATGGGCATGGGTTGGGTTGGGTCGGATTTTTAGTCCACCTGACCCGACTCGAGAACAAGAAACTCTCCACTCGATATCCGACCCGACCCGATCAAAACGAGATTCCACCCGACACAAACCCGATCCGGCCCGAAATAATAATAAGTCATTATTTTTATTCAATAAAAACAATGACTTAATTGGAAAAAATAATATATAGAGGGGTATTATTGTAATTATTTCTAAATATACAAGGTAAAATTATATATTTTTTCGGGTCGGATATTTTTCACCCTAAACCCGAGCTCGACCCGACCCGAACATTACATAAAAAAACCCGACTCGGCCCAACTCAAACCCGAATATTTTTTAAAAAAACCTGACCCGATCGGGTCGGGTTCAGGTCTCATTCCCATCCCTAGTGTAGAGAACATGATGAGATTCATATAATATTAAAATATAAAATAAATAACCATTTTAAAATAACATTAATAGAAATGATAAAAAATAATATATTAAATTCATGTATTAAAAACAATTTATGGTTAAACATCAATGTCTTATAATTAATAAAAATAATCATAATAAATTTTAAATAACTGACTATACTTAATAATATGAAATATAAATTTTATTAAATACATAATTTTTTTATCATCCGTATTAGTTAGGGGTGTTTTATTTATGTGCTCGCCTTTTCAAGTATTTGAGATTTTCGAGTGCCAAAAACTTGGTCCATGTCTTAGCCAGTAATATGCAGGTACCTGTAAGTCGAGTAACCATAAAACCCAGTACCATTATTTGTTTTTCAGTTCATCGAT